GAAAACGAAGCGTTTGAGAGAGGCGGGGCATAGAGGACCTACAATAATGTACAGTATTTGAAACATAATGTGTTTTTTGAACATTAAAGCATGTCAACATATTCTGTTACACCAAATACACAAAATAATGATCTTTAAAATAGCATCATATGACCCCTTTAAATATGTGTGTATATAAGCATATCTTAAAATAAACGTTTTTGTATATAATCAATCAATTACAATTTTAATTGTATAAATATTCAGCACAACGGTGCAGCTGCTGGTGTCAGATGATCAGGCTGTGTGAAACTCATTCATGAGTTGTTCAGTCTGAATGGATGCATGCCTGAATAGGTGTGATATTCAGGAAACACTCGTTATGAAAGCTGCGAGCTGTGTTTCTGTGTCTGAGTGAATCCACCGCTCCTTCTTTCAGGAGATCATGACGCGTGTGGACGTCACACAGATCACGTGTGTTCAGACTGTGTCCGAATGTCACTCTGAGGTGAACCAGACTCATTCAAACACTTCATTTAAATAATTTCCATCAGATAAATAAATGAATACAATAAATGATGTCCATCAGATCAGACACTAACGATGATTGACCTGAGCTGTCATCAGTGTGTGCTTCTGCATCAGTGTTTGTTAGTAATCGTGTTGGTTAAACCGCAGTCAGACAGACGTCACCGACTCTCGGTCTGTTCTATTATGTTTATGTATTAAATAAACATTACATGTTATAAATTTAATTTGAATGGTTTTATATCCAGCTGAAGGCGACTGAGAGTCAGAGGACCACAGACGTCACCGGCACTCAGACGGAGGTACTGACAGTCTGTTTTATTAAGTTTTATGTATTAAAGATACATTATATGTTATTATTACTTTATTGACTATTATTATTATTAGCTTTATCTGCTGTTCATCATCGTGGACTCTGTTTGTGAATGTTCATAGTTCATCTGTAAGATGTGTAGTATTCTGTGTCCTCGTGTGTGTGTGTGTGTGTGTGTGTGTGTTTTGCTTCAATAGAGGAAGAATACCAACGGCAGGAAGAAGCTGGTGAACGGTGTGTGCTCGTGTGTTCCTGAAACATTAGAGATTCTACACGCTAAACACGCCTCACAGCTGAACAGTGAGGTGAGACGAGATCGTCAGAGCCACACATCATTCATAAATAAAGGTCATCAGCAGGGTTTCTGCCGGTCTTAAATTAAAACAGATAGAAAATAGACAAGCTAAAATAAATGTCCCAGCATGAAGTGTTGCCAAATGAGTCTCTTCCTCAGTGTTTCTGTCTTGTTTTCCAGTACAAATGTCTAAAGATTCTTAAATCAAGGTGCATTTACTGGAGATGCAAAATGATTTGAAGTCTTGTTTTCTGAGAGATGTATAAAAATTAAGTGACTTCATGCTTAAAACAAGAACAAATATCTGTCAATGGGGAATGAATTAACTTGATTTTTAATTTGCACCCATTGGCAGATATTTGTGCTTGTTTAAATTGTAAACGAACTACGTTTTGATCAATTACTCAGTACATTTTTAGACATTTGCATTGGAAAACAAGACAGAATGTCAGTTTTTTGCTGTGTGTGTGTCTGTGTGTGTGTCTGTGTGTGTGTGTGTGTCTGTGTGTGTGTCTGTATGAGTGTGTGTGTGTGTGTGTCTGTGTGTGTGTGTGTGTGTGTGTGTTCAGCTGCTGTACCGTGAGGATGGACGCAGGGATCTGTGTGTCAATCTGTACTCACTGATGCCCGACACACCAGACACGGAGTTCGCTAGAGAGATGAGCGATCTTCAGAGTGAGGTACGACACGCCACAAACACGCTCAGACACACACACACACACACAC